GCAGCGCAAAATGAGTAAAGGAGACAACCACCATCCCTCCCCCTCGGCTGGGTCCAAGAATGGGAGCCCAGTCTCCGCCGCGCGTACTTCGTCGAGACAGCAACGGGCCGCTCGCAGTGGGAGACACCCATGCAGGACTCCGAGCACGCCAGGGGACTGAGCGGGCCCCCGCCTGAGTCGGCTGGGTACTATGCTTCTCCGCCGCCGCCGGCCCAGGACGGGGGCTACTATCCCTCTCCCGGGGGAGAGTATCCGCCTCCGGAAGAGAAGAAGAAGAAGTCCAGCGGGATGGGGAAGATCATTGCTGGTGGTGTGGCCGGTGTGGCGCTCGGTGCGGCCGGTATGGCGCTGTGGGAGCATGAGAAGCGTGAGTTTTTTCTGCTGTGAGTTTTGGCTAAGAGGGTTTGCTTACTGACCGTTGATATAGGTGAGGATGAAGAGGAGGAGGAGCTCAAGGAGCGGGTTGAAAGGTTGGAGGAGGAGCAGTACCGTTCTGGCTCGAGCTCGGATCATGAGGAGCATGCTCACTCGCCTCCTCCGGATGACTGGTAGAGTGGGTTGGTGATCTTCGGTAGTTTTCTCCTGGTCTAGTATACTTGCATATGAAAGGTTTTCTTAAGCAACTGATCATCAGGTGTTCATTTCAGTTTGGGCTAGAAATTATCGTTCGGAAATAAGACGATACTATTAAGAAAATACTAATAACAATTCTCACAACCTAAGTAATAGTAAGAGGTCTCTTTGATTCCATGAAGCATATTTTGTCCTTTTGGCGGTGACGTCATACCAATAAGCACATGCTCTGCGGGATTCAATCACTTTCAACGCTCCATACCAAACATTGCTGGTACATATCATCTAGAACCATACTCAAAATGCCAAAATACGTGAGTCGGTCTTGATTATGTCAATTTTCTCCCAAGTAACCCAAGCAGAGCCTTGTAATTCAATACGACAGCGTCGAAGCATGGCAGAAACACAATGGCGAAGTTGAACGAATGTATGTATAGTCCGGCGAGCACATCTGAAGGGCGACTGAGAATGGTGATAGTACGAAAGATGGATTCGCAGCAAAAGGGGCAACTAATTATACATTTTTCATTTCGACGAGGAGTCTCCCTCCTATCCATACTACTTCGTATGGGTTTCGATATTTGCGATGTCGAGGATATTGCTGACCGGACGTGAAGATTCGTTGTACCCGATAATGTCACGCTGGATGAACTGAAGGAGGTGCAATTCCCAGAGGGTGTGTCGGTGCAGATACACCAGGAGTCTTGAGATTTATTGTCATACTACCACTTCTTTCATGGTTGTGAGACGCTAAATTATTTCCAGCATAAAATCTCTCCGTGGAGTAACCCAAACCAAGCCTCATCGTTTTTGACAAACTCCCTCCATCCATCCGCTATCCCCTCCAAATTCTCCTTCGTCGCATATCCCTCCTCCAGAGCTGTCTTCGTAAACCCACTCGATCTCATCCTCGCTTCCATTGATCCACCCCAGTACTCCCGCTCCTCGGGACTACTAAAGCACCATGCCCCAGCACTTTTCTTAATTCTCGCCTTTTCAAATCCGGCTTCCTCCGCCCAAACATGGATATACCGGCCGGGGTGCGGGTTGCCTCCCTTCGCTTTAGCCATACGCTCTGTAATCTCTTTCCATCCTGCGATTCCCGCGTTGTCAGGGAACCACGTCATCGCTGCCGACTCCCTCGCCGCGATGATCCCGCCGTCACTCTTCGCGACGCGGCGCATTTCCCGTAGTGCGCGCACAGGGTCCGCGATGTGCTGTAGAACCTGGTGAACATGGACGATGTCGAAGGTGTCGTCCGGGAAGTCAAGAGAGTGGATGTCGCCGACGCGAAAGTCGATGTTTGTGATTCCCTGTCTGGAGGCGAGGGATCGGGCTTCGTCTAGTGGGTCGGCGACGTATTCAATCCCTGTGACGTGGCCTTGGGGGACAAGCTGGGCAAAGTCGATGCTGATGCTGCCCGGGCCGCAGCCTATATCAAGGATTTTCATGCTCGGTTTGATGTACGGGAGGACGTAGGCGGCAGAGTTGGTGGCGGTGCGCCAGCTGTGGGTTTGCAGAACGGAGGGGGAGTGGTCAGTGGTGTAGACGGTTTTGTTAGACATTGTAATTGAAGGTATGTCTCAGGGATTATCAATTGATGTGTGAGAAGAAGTTCGTTTTGACGAGGAACGGAGGGCGAGCGCTGGGTTTTATGTTCGTGGACGATGTACTCGTCAGTCTAGGGCTTCATATCCATAATATAGATCTTTCTGGGGTTGGTTCAGGCACCTTAGGCATCAATCGTACTTAATCAGACATACACTAGACTATTTACACGGCCTAGTATCATGTGCCAGCGGGAAACATGCTCCAAATCAGTCGGTCTGAAAAGCTTTCCATGCCTTCTCTCGGAATCGAACCTGGGGCCTGCGGGCTCAGGGGTAATACCACTAGGCTAAAAAGGTGCTGTCAGTCAGGTTATTCCAACGGGTTCAACAACGGGTGGCGTCATGGGCCATGGCATTCTGAATCGAATGGACGAGGGAAAGGGGGTAGTTGTTTCTGTGCCATGGATTGACAAGACAGTTCATGATTGTGATTTGACGCTGTCTTCTTGAAATTGAGTAGATTTTGTATGACGGTACCTGAGCATGACAATCGCCTGAGACCATCGCGTTTGAAATAGCGCGTCGGGCCTAACGCGTTTCTTCTTGGAGCCTCCAAGTTCGAGGCAACATGTACTCCGCGTTGAGAGTCTATATATCACCTTTGAAGAATGTGAGACGCACATCGATCTGGTGGAGAAATCAATACCTATCCTCCTTCTGGGCGTCGCATAATGCTCGCTACTTTTCAGCATCGAAGCCGGGCCACAAGCAGGAAACAGATAGGAATTGCATCAGAAAGATCTTTTACGCGTTCGATCCCGTTGAAAACCAGTCAGCTTCATCGGCACGAGCCTACTTCTCCTTTCTCGATCCTCAAGCTGTCACCAACTCGCCCGAACTGCGACATGCGAATTGCATTGTTCCGTCTAGCCTGAAAATTCCATGGGTTACATCTTTCCCTGCCTCGCTGCAGTCCAAGTACTGGGCAGAGGCGGAAGAGGCTGCAAGAGATTTGCTACGAACGATCTTTGTCACGCCGTCGCGGAATATCTCTGAGAAGTACATCGAAGCTGTGATCGACGCGGCTGTGTCATTGACTGTGAATGTCGCCCCAACAGGAAGTTTATCGAGAACGAGAGCTCTGGCGAGGGCTTATGTACTCATATTCATACATGATGGTAAGTGAAGCCGGTAGTGTACTGTGACAAATCTGACCACTGTTTACAATGCTTCAGACGCTGTTGAGTCGGGAAATGTATGACCTCGATGCTCGTCAGTCCTATCCAGGTGTTTGAGTGCTTATCAACAGCAGTTCGATGCAACCATTCCGAATACTTATAACAATAATGAGCGACATACTCATACCGGATTTGATATGGTAGCCCAGGAGGTCATGTCTGAAGATGCTGTGCAAGGCAGGAGATTTCTGGATGGTATGATATCGTGGGGATCTCTGCCACAGACTATACAACCCAGCACAGCCTTCCCGACACTCATGGACTACATGAAGCACCGGATAGAGGATGTGGGAGCTTAGTAGGCTACTCTGATCTCTCGATGCGCTACAGCGCTAACAGTTCCAGCCCCGTCTTTCGCAGCGTGGAATTCGCCTCAAATATCTCCATCACAGATCAAGATGAACAAGCTCTTGAACGCCTGAGCTCCCTCTGCGCGAAACATTTTGCATTAGCCAACGATCTATACTCGCACCCTAAGGAAGTCATCGCCGAAAAGGAGCACGGGGAACCTCTTCTCAACGCTGTCAGGGTCCTACAAGATTTGATCGGTGTTTCCTCTTCTTTGGCCAAGTCGATATTGCGTAGTATCATATTGGATACCGAGCGGCAGATGAGCGAGGAATATGAGTCTCTTCTCAACGCAAAGAGTACGACAGCAACACAGTTGGTCTACGCTCGGGGATTGATCATCGCTGTAGCAGGGAACATGTTCTACTCGGCTACGAGCTATCGTTATGCTAAAGCCGTTGATGGATCCAGGCTGGTATAAACAGTCAATATTTGAAAGTTGTACATGTCGATGAGTTTCACATATTCACTTCGTTCAATCATCTCTCTCAATTCTTAGCTTCACCTCTATAAAAGCACAGGTCAACCTACTGTCTGCGACGAGCCTGTCATCAACACATATGTGACGATCTTTTCCCACCTCAAGTCAATTACGCATAATGTTGTCACAATCAAGCAGAAAACCTATGTAATGAAGAGGAAATGAGCAGGTAGTATTCCATCCATGGCTTCGCTTGATTCGCGCTAGGCGAAAACGGCTAGTCCCACAATTGCGGCCCGGCCAGTTTAAATTTCCCACCTCCTCCCCCCCACCCAGCTTTCTCTCCTCCACCCTTCTCCAGCTCCACCTCACCTGTCATGTCTTCTGAGCAGCAACGGCGACTATCAAGCTCTGTGGAATGTATAGCAGTTGCTTGGATCTCCTTTAGAGAGTGTTTCCTTCATTTCATTGTCTAGATGATGTCTGACAACACTTTTTTTCCTGTATCTCTCACTGTAGTCGCGTTTCGCGTCTCGTGTTTTGTGTTGACGCGTTTCGAGCTAGCTAGCTCTTCCTTTTTTCACTCGACCTTCTGTTTCTTCAATGTGTTCTCTCTTCTTTCCTTTCCTCATTCCTTTCTCATTCTCTTGATCCAAGGGTATTAAACCCCGGCGACGACAAGTTCCCTCATGAACTCTTGAGCGGGTGTCGATTGCTGTATGCCTCTAATACCCAAATCATCTGGATACTAATAAGCATGTTGGCACAATCCCACAGGCCTGGAATTATGTCGTGTGTCAGCATGAAAGTCAGTATCCTACATTTCCTCAAACCAAGCCCGGGTGGCGCGTTGACAGAGCGTGCTGGGTGGCCAAGACCCTTGCCAGGTCTTGTGCAGTGGGTTCGATTCCCACCATGGGTAGTTGTCTCTGTCGTTAACGGCATCGTTCCAAGAGGATTGACAGACTTGGCGCTGACTCCGCTTCGTTTTCTCCTCGTCTCACTGCTCGGCTGATATTTGCTACTGTGTGTGGATTTTGAGGATTGACTGGCTTCGTGTCCCCCTCCGCCTGGCCTTCTCCTCGTTTCACTGCTCGGCACTTTCGGCTATTGTGCGTGATTGAAGGAACTGAACTTGTTTGAATTTGGTGGCCCAGTTGATACACACGTCGTGGCCACGTTTGTGCCCCTGGACGTGCAACTCGTGGTCAAACATATCACAAGATTTGTCGGTTGTCTGACTCTGCATCTCTTCTGTGAGCATGGTTGTCTAGTCTTCCCGTCGACCCTGCATGTCCATCCTGCTGCCCCGGGATGTTGATAGCAGCCGTGACATTGCTGACTTGTTACTGTTCGCATTGACTTTGAGTGCATGATTTTCAGCGCTGACCTGATTACTGTCTGTTTCTGTTGCTTAAGCGAGGCTTTCTCGTTGGTAACATGAGTAGGACAAATGGTGGTTGACCGAAGGCTGTGTTCTTGCTATCCTGTCTACGGGGATTGTGCACGCGGCTTGAGCCGGGCTTCATCAAGGTGGTTGACTGTGTCATCATTGCACTGCTTTTGACACAGGTTGAACATACGCCTGCTGCCTACTCAGAGTCACACGGATGTGCTTGCCGTTATTTCACCGGGGGGTAGCAGCCCCAGTGTAGAAACGATGGTATCAAAAGCAAAAGCAAATAGGGGTTAGAACATCGCGTCCCCATGTTACAGCGAGGCGTGCGTTCCTATTCTTCGTATGCCCACCATGGCTCGACAGACTAGTACTCTATATATAGGGCCTCCGACCGATCTCTGTATCAATCTTGCTGATGTCTGAATTTCAGGCGCTTGTATGCGAGGTTGTTGGATTTCGGAACGACCCAAACCGTTATATATAATGGCCGCCGGTCGTGCTGATGCCTGACGTTCAGGCGCTTGTATGCACGGCCACAGGTCTCACAAATTGGCGAATTGACAAACTGACAAATTTACGATTCCCCATGGGGAGGTTGGCGCTCACGCTGTGCTATTGTTTTGGGAGAGTGCATCATGCAGTTCTCACGCACAATACAGGCGGCGTCTGTGATTTTGCTGCCAAGGTATGATAAATACTGGTTTCTCTTCCTGTGGGCTCTCTTCGAGGCTGCATCGATCTTGGGATACACCGGTGTCTACCGTCGGCGTTGCAAATGTTGGCTGCTTCGCGTTCGCGTGAACCGCCTGTCTACTGTACCCGGACCTTGCCTTCGGTTGGTTTCTCGCCATGGCTCGCTGTCTCGACTGGCGTTTCAGTAGTTCCTTTCGGGGCTCAGAATTTCCCCGGTTCATCGAATTTTTTGTTTTTAATCATTCGGATCTTTCCGAATATGCGGGCCATGCGGGTTTCACGTTTCTGCGGGTTTGTGGGTTGTGTGGGCTTGTGGTTCTGAGGGTCCTGGGGGATTTGGGTAGGAGTGGCGAGCAGGGTTCGACTCCTTGTTAGCAGCGCCCGGATGGGGGCAAAGCACCTCCTTCCCGTCGGTCTCGAGCCGGCAAAAACAAAAACAATATCGCTGCTATCACGATTTCGTATTTCTGCCATTGAGGAGCGATCAAGATGCTGACAACACTTGTTTTTAGGCCCCCGTTGAAGCTTCCTTTTTGTTCAAAGATCGACTTTCATTCCGAACCTCCGCCTCTTCGTCCCAAGCCATGTTGCAACGTCCCTCGATACGTCCCTCCTACTCCGAATTGATCAAGCAGAAACTGGTGCAGATTGACGATGGACGGGATACTGGTGCATGTCTTCTCATTGTTGGATGTTGACATAAACATGGGAGTCCGTGCTGTTCCTGGCGTATATCGGCTCCTCTGCCCACAAGTGCTCGCCCACCTGATATCATTGATGCACGATCACTTCTGCCGCATAAGCTTTTTCGAAAGCATTAAGAAGCCCTGCAGTGGTCTTTCGCTCGGCACCATACGCATGCGTGTTCATGACAATTACCTGGATTCGGACATACCTTGTCAACCTCATCTTTCAGGTTGATTGTGACTGATAGGTGTTTTAATGCTTCGGTGTCGTTCTCTGGTTGACCGCGACGACTTGCGGGTGATGTCACTGATTCCATGGCTGCTTTCAGGAAGTCAGTATTGAGAACGAATCGACGGCCTGAAACTGTTCCTATCTCCCTCCCCGTTTAAGATGACATTTGTCAAGTGGACTAGTGTTGAATGCCCCTTGCCATTTCTCTGATATGTATTTGCAGCAAGGCTCTATCTCTACCAAGCGTGATCACACAAAGCTCAAGTCCATTCGGTGTCGAACAGTATCCTTACACTCATTTTAAGAGTTTCAGAGGTCAAAACATCGATGACTCGGTGAAACTGGACATTGGGGCGCCTGGTTAGATCATCTAATTCTTGAAGATCTTTGGTCTTTGCTCTGACTTTTACTCTTCCATTCGTATTGCGCGACCTTTCCGAATCCTTAAGGAACTCGCCTCACTGACACCAGCGTCGTACCTATGTGCACAACGCATTCGAATCAAGGAAACGTATATACGTCAGTGAAAACGCAGCCGGGTTCTACTCCTGATACTCGTTGACGGATACTGATGGTCTGATTCCAGTGCATACGAGAAGGACACATCAGAATATATATCACTGTATATGATTATCAAGTAGATAATACCACTTGAACCTATATCCTTGAAATGATGTATAATACCTATCATAAACAACCGAAAGCAGTATCCACCAGGCGATACTTCCAAGCGCAAGAAATAGAGTTGATATCAAAACCCAAAATCCAAATCCACAGTGTCCAAACTCCGAAGGCGTTATGGACCCGCCTGTGGCGCTTGAACTCGGACCAGCGAAAATCTCTGCAAATTAGACTCTCGAACTCTCGAGTCTAGCGAGTAGCGAGCGACCTTATCCATCTGCCATCTGCCATCGTCTTGACCTCCTGAAGATACTCTGTCCATCCCTCTTACCTCTTCTACCCCCTTTGTTGAAAACTCATGCATTCCATTGGCAACCTTGAGATCTGGTCGCAAACCGAGGACATCCAAATCCATACATCAACACTCCTACAAACCGTCTCACACTCATACCCGAGCCGAAGTGAGGAAGCAATTTATTCGCAGACAAAGAATTTTTCGCCGACTTCGTTAAATTCTCATGAACGTGATGGTTTAGTGTCAGATTCGCTAACCATATGGGTCTCAAAAGTAGAGTAGAATTACTAACTACGGACGCGTAGCTCAGTTGGTTAGAGCGACGAGCTTATGAGGTCCTTCGTGATCCTCGTAGGTCGGGAGTTCGACTCTCCCCGTGTCCATGATTTTTACTCTTTTTTTTTTTTTGTGTGTTCAACACCCCCGCCGATCGACACCAACCATTCCTTATCGTCAGTTTCAATTCGTGCTACTTTTATTTATCGCTCAGTTGTATTCTGTTGGAAATTATGATATTTCCGTGTGATACTCCCTCGAATGATATGAAATACCTGGTTCGATTACTGCTTTGATGGTGTGAACCAGGTGACGCTCTATTGTCCGTTAGCATTGACGCTGTTTTAAGCCTTGACCTGCTCAGGCTCACACTGGAACATAATGACAATTCCAGTTTGCTATGTTTCGACAGAGCGTGTTCCATGCAAGGGACTTAAAAAAGCTAAGCTTCGATGGGATATGCGAGACCCTGTCAATCTATAAGATAAAGATCACGTTCATTCGCATCTATCATTGCCCAACTTACTCAGAACACGCGTCGGATGTAGGAGCCATGATCTGAGCTGTTTACTGACCCAAGTGAAGTCTAACAGGGTCGGATCTATTTTACTCAAGCTATGTGGAGGCTATTGCACTGACAAGTATACAGATATATCAATATTATTAAAACTATAATGCGTACAGACGGATCCAAGGCGAGGGACCCAGATCGCCGACTAACAAGTACAAAGATCGGATGGAATGCCGACAAGACAAGCTCCGATGGTGCCGTCGTCTTTGCGTAACAATCTCATGACCGATCGTTGGAACCCTGGTCTTGTCTCATGAATGCTCATCATCAACGTTCCATCGCATCGTTGCGTTGACGTCCGCCGTCCGACTTGGTTGTGACACGAGAGTCAAACAGTCAAAAGGGACAGGACAGCTTAGAAAGCCACAGCGATGGCGGCAGCGACGACGGCACCGCCGAGGGAGTAGCTGAAGTGCTCCTTGCTGGCGGCACCAGTGGCGAGGAGGTTGGTGCTAGTGGAGGCGGTAGCGGAGCCAGTGCTGGAGCCGGAGCCGCCCTTGGTGGGGGTAGCGCTGCCAGAGGGAGTAGCGGAGGCGCTGCCAGAGGCGGAGGTGCCGGTGGGGATGACGGCGGAAGAGGAGGAAGAGCCCGTCTTGGTGGCGGTAGCGGTAGCAGTGGAGGTCTCAGTGGCAGAGGCAGAGGCAGAAGAGGAAGAAGAGGAGCTGCCGGCGTCCTTGTAGGCGTCGATACCCTTCTGGATGGCGGCGGTGATGCCGGCGGAGAGCTGAGCGGCGATGTCGGAGAGGGAAGAGGGGACCTTGGAGGAGATGGCCTTGGCCAGGTTGTCGGCGGCGGTGTACTGCTCCTGGAGGGACTTGTAGACGGCACCACCGGCTCCGGCGGCGACGAACTGGTCCTTCTTGGAGATGAGGTCGTTGACGACGCCCTGGACCTGCTTGGTCAGGTCCTGGACGGGGGAGGTCAGAGCCAGAGCATCGGCGGTGCTGAGGTCAGCGCCGCTCTTGACGGTGTCGACACCGGAGTTGATGGTGCTAACGAGCTTGTCAGAGGCGGACTGGACTGCCGAAGGGTCACCGCCGTTGTAGGAGGAGACGGCCGAGGCCAGAGCAGAGGTCTGGGCGCTGATGTCCGAGATGACACCGACGGCAGGGGCGTCACGAGCGACCAGAGTGGGCGTGGCCAGGGCACCGGTGAGGCCGAGAGTGACGAGGAGGGCAGAGAAACGCATTTTGACCAACGAAGGGTGGTATTATAGATTAGTTGTATCTAGAAAAGTAGTGTATAGATGGACAAAATCGAGTGAGCCAAACGAATGGGGTCGACCGAGCAAGCGAAAGACTGGATCTGTTTCTTCTCTGGGATCTGAGAAACAAGAGGAAGGAGGGATTGAGCAGTGACCTGGGAGGTTGTATATATAGGGCCTGGTGCAGGGATTTAAGATTAAACCTCACATGCACAGGGCAGTAGTCTATGGCCTTGGGACCGAGGAAAGTTGCCATCAGGGGCAGGATCCCAGATTCTAGCCATGGGTGACTATTCTTAGACCATGGCCATTATTACGGAGTATGTACTGACTGGACTCGATGCTACAGACTACAGTAGGTATTTTCGAGTTTCTCATCGCCCACTACGAATGATTGACCAGGATCCGGGGGAGCCCAACGAGGGATTAATCACCGTCTTAATGAATGGGGTAAGATCGTCGGTCTGGACTTTGTTGATTCGATTCGAGAGTAGGATCATAGCCTGTTGATCCTCAGCCTGGGATGCTACTCGATTCCAAGAGAGGCTGGGAAAAGCAGACCTCTGCTTAGTAGATACCAGTCCATTGTCCAATATCCATGGATACCTGAGGAACCACCACACGGTCACACCCGAATAGGACAATCCTCCGTCGCTCACCATCTTAGCGCTGCAACATTGTTCTTTTTCGCGCTTGAAGATTGGTAGAGTCCCTGCACTAATGGTTTAGTCCAGAATCACCAAGTGGTAAACGGGTAAGGACTGCCTTTAGCACATTACAACCCCAGTCCCGCCCCCAGATCCTCATTTGTTCCTCCATCGGAACTCGGGTTCGTCCTAAGCGATGTCAATAGTGCGGGTGTAGAGTCTGCCAAGTATGGGAGACTGGAAGAGTGAGACATGGAGACTGTTACCCCGCACCAACTCGCTCTTCCGTGATTTTGTTGGATGATCGTTCTGGCTGCTTCAGTGGCAAAGACCATTTTTTAGTCACTTGCTACAAACTAACTATCGAGCAGAGCAGGGATCCGGAAATTATCTACTCATTGTATCCATAAGAATGGTGTGATGATGGTTCGGATTGCCTAATAATAATGCAAGGGATTTGGCCCGAGACAACAAATGCTTCAACTTGGATCTGCATCTGCACTCATTTTTGATCAATGTCGTTGATCTTTGATTTTGATTCTACCTAAAACAACGATCGAGTTACACGTTCTCCTCCATCCTCGAGATTGTCATCTTACCCCGTATTTCCCTCTCGGAAATCCACCTCGGTTGCTCGTGCCTGGCCCTGGAGTCTTGGACCCTCTCTGGCTGTAGGCTTGCGAAGGTGGCGGAAGTTCGGATCCGCCAGGTTCCCCAGCCGGGGTCCCTGGCAAGAATAATTTCCGTGCGCACTTCTGAGCTCCTCGAATTACGTGTGTTGCATTTGGTCTTGTTGACTACTGGATCCAGTACCTGGCAGACAGCTAATCATTCCTCGGTGATGATTGGTGGTGAGCACCCACACAGGTACATGGTAGTAAATAAGTGACAGTAGCAAGATATAGCCAATACAGGCATCAACTCTGTAGCACTCAGCAGAGTGGGTTCAGGATCAGACTTCGAGCTGCAGGAGCCGTGCACAGTCACAGCTCTCACCGAGGCTACTGAGCTTAGTCTAAAATACCAAGCTGTCTGTCATCATTCAATAGTTCGGCTGACTTGCAGTAAATCAGGTTTTGGTGGCACGAAGAGCCGGGCTCGAGTAGTCGGACGCCCTTCGAATACTGATGCCCATTCTCGAACGTTCGAGCAATGTCTCCTAACTCTCGATACATTATACGGGACGCTTTGAAGTCTGCGGCCTGGACAATCAGTAAACACTCCGAAGGACCATAGCCCATATTGTTCTGCTGAGTCATGGGACATTCGCACAGCTTTCCCGATGGGACATGGTCATTCCTGGCCGCCTAATGGCACAATTGATTGATTGGGCTCTAAGACCTAGGAGCAGGGATGGCGGCCGTTAGGACCGACTTAGCCAGGGCAACTGATGAAACGACGAGTCAGAACATAGGACATAGCAGGATGGTGGCGAAAATACGCATTGTCATCAAATTCCTAGCATAGTGTTTCTTAAGTCTGTCGGCCAGACACCAACAACCGCTAGACCAGCCTCCTCCGTTCTGCGAATCTGCGGATACGGAGTCATCGCATCCCAATCAGCCAAGGGACTGGAAAGGTTACACTGCGGCGCTGACAGAGTTAAATGCTTAGCGCTCTTTCGGTCAGCTCTTTCTCGCCTCAAAGATTGTCATTGGTTGCCCCTTAATATAACGCGATGGGAAGAGAGTTAATGGCAAAAAGCAAGGAAGCTGTCGTCAAATGGCGTCATGTCTGGATACAGAGGACATGTGATCTTCTGGCTGTTCATGTCTGTTCTGGACTGGCCTTAATGTTGTGTCAGTCAACTAGACGATGCGGCAATGGGTGTGTCCTAAAGATTCTTTACCACAGTTGGATGCACGTGGGATAACAGAAAGCGTTATGTTGTCGCAGTGTTGCGAGATGCTCAAATTCAGGTAGTGTTTCATATTCTGGCTTGGGCGGACTCATGATTGTCTGAACTTAACTGACCCTCAAAATCGAGACAGTCAACAAGCAGATGGTCCTCAATCATCCTGATACTCCGCTCAAAACAGGATTATGCCAATCATACCAGGCATGATCGAGGACTTCTACCCTGCGTCGTAAAAAATCGAGGCGGAAGACGGGAGTTTGGTCATCTCTAACCTTCAGGACAGCCCCAAGCCAATGGTTATTTCTCTTGAGTAGCCTTCGATCTTCAACCAGGCGTGGAATCCACTTACAAAAGTTCCAAACACTACCAATCTTCTCCCACGCAGGAAAAACTCTGTCTCCCAAATTGTGATTGCGCCGGAAGATCGGTTCGACCTCGAAAGAAATGTGTCTGGGAGACTTGAAACTCCAAGCGAATCTTTTTACAAATTCTCGATAGTCTGAAACCAGTCTGGCTTGTCTTGACTGGATATCATCTTTTCCCGTATACGGTGACGGAGTGGTCATGCAACGAAGCCAGGTTGGCGACAATCAATCCAATTGCCACAATGGCAATACACCCCCGTCGTAATCTGAACCCGATATCGCTCGATGGTCTTATTGTCTCGCAAGGGAGAGATGAACACTGCATTTGCAATGTTCTGGTTGCTGCTCGTTATCGCAACTGGCTTAGGATGGCTGGTGCATGGAATCCTTCATGCCTAGGCCTCCCCCAAGTGTTTGCCTGGGTTTCGCAGAAATTCCAAAGTCGATAAGGAAGATTCTTCGCCCGCGCGAGAAAGCAGGAAGATGCTTACATGAGTCAAGGGATAAAAATTGTTACTAACAGGTTCGACCTCACATTTCTGTACATAAGTCTCTGCATGTGCGAAGTTGACGTGCTGTCTGGTAGACATCTCCTGAACCAGCGATCCAGAATCAGCAGGGGAAACTTGTGTTCTATGTCAGACGCACCTGCATCACAATGTCCACGCAATCTTCTACTCTTTATCGCACAAAGGCGGATGCAAGACGGTATATACTTACAGTGTTTGAGTGCTTGTGCCAAACGGCCTTGGACATTTCATAGATCTCTCTTGCAATATCCCGCGACCCTCTTCTGTTCTCGACCTCGACGGACCTTTGCTAAATTCCGCCGCGTATCGCTCAATTTGGGACACCACGTACCCCTTGAAGGAGTCCATGGGTTTCTCCGGTCGTGATATATTCGAGATTGCAATCGCGTTTTCACCCTTCGAGCCCATCTGTTCCGTTTTGACCCATGGCGGTCCTTTGGACTTGGATGCTGTTTGCTCCTTCCCCTGGGTTCTTGACTTGGATCGAAACTTCGCATTCCAGGCACGATACACTCTCATCCCTCCCTGCGATCCTATCCTCCGTGAAGGCTATACTAGACCGTTGACGGAACCTTTCGCTCCTCTTTGCGACTGAATATCATTCAGTACTCCCACTGAATCATGCAAACGGTTGGACAACCCCTGTGATTCGTAGGTTCCACAACGGAGATACTCCACGAACAATAGATAAGCGAGATCATGCCAAATCCTTCCACCCATGCAACTTTGACGCCTTCCAGTTTCCATTAATGTGGCGCTTGGCACGTGCTTGTATTATTATCAGACGACAACGCATGCTCTAGCCATGCCTTGCTGCGCTTTATTCGCCGCTTCGCGCCTGAAGGATGCGGGTCATTGTAGCACGCTGGCATTAGGAGTTATTGGACGGATGATATTCGCCAAAAAGTAGATTCGATTCTTTGACCCAGGTCGAAGTTGTCACCCGTGAGAGCCACTGAAGCCAGCGAAGACGATCAAATACACATCCGGAGGCAGATGTCCTGCTTTCAAGGCAAGAAGGAAGGGAGACCTGTCGATCACGTTATTTGTTAGCCATGCATCGTGTAACGATTTCCCCTTTATTGAAAGATTGCCTAGATCTCTCTGTAGAGCTTCCCACACAGCCTCCATTGCCATACCGGCTTGCCCGTTTGAAGTCGACTGTGGCTTCTCCTGCTGTGAGATGTTGGACCTGACGCCGTGGAAACTTACCAAGCTGGTCATTTATTGTAGAATACCGTGTTGCGCATTTTCCATGATGAATAGGTACAATATAGCTCGATAGACTGGCTACAGCCTACAGCTCATATTTGCCCGCGTGAAAGAGATGCTATTGCTAAGCCCATGTGGCGTGGGGTGTCAGCACTTTGTTTTGGCTGGCCCAGATAAGCAGCAAGCACTTGATAGGGCGAAGAGTCTCGTGATAGCGTTTCTCACTCGAGCAGGATGATTTTGATTTATCATCGGCAGACTGCGACATATCGCTCAGCTCCATGGCGGATGAGAAAGAGGGCCCTTGCAGGATGCATATCTACTTGCTTGCCCTTACATCAATGTTCTGAGGATGTGATATATATCTTCATCC